TCCCCCCTGGAACTTTGTCGTTGCATTCACGTCCTAGCGTATGCTCTTATCGCCTTCACTAGCTTTGATTCTAACGCTATTTTGTCATTGGTTGTCGTACGCCATTTGTTGTTTGTTATTAATTTTATACTAATTCCATTGCGTGTCTTTGAGAAACCATCTTCATCACTTTATTCTCTAAGTACTTCTTGTTTAACCATTTGATCGTTCGGCATCCTTTATTGATCTTTAGATGCCCCTTAACTGAATAAAAAAGTGTGGTCGTGGAAAGATGAGTTGAAAATATCCTAGTAGTCTGAACTCACGTATCCCTGTCTTTTAGATCACTAAATACGTTTTGCATAATTATCGGTGGGTTGGAAATTCGCAAATCTCATTTTTATCTTGCAAGCATAACTATTTGTTGCTGAAAATCATATTACCCAGAAACAATTTGCTTAAACCACTTGTCTGTTATTGTGTCGTAACCAAGTACTTTACTTTTTCATATAGCTGGTTTTCCTGTTGAATCAAAAAAGCTGCCATCAGATTTTGCGCAGCCTTCTTGAGAGGTCTGTTTTATCCAACCTTTTCTCACCACTTGACGTTTTCCCTTTATAAACGCTTCTTGGTATCTGCTAGAAGTTTATAAGTTTGCTTTGATGCGGGCTTCTCTGGAAATTGTATTTTATGTTTATGTTGTTACCCTATTTTCTGTTGATTAGTTATGTTTACCGAAACTTGTGCAAATCCTTTAAATGACAATTATTTACTCAATTTTAGCCACACCATACTGAGACCGGCGCTCTGATTCCTGGCAATGGTGGTGTTCCTGGAACCACTATTGTTAAAGTTAGGCATACGCCCAATCCACGAGCGACCTATCAGATCCCACCCAATGTTGTTGAATCGTGTCCCGGAAATCTTCCTAATATGGAGAAACACACAAAAACTGATATCGATGATGATGATTATGATGACTTTGAATTGAAGACGGTCCACAATAAATCCTCTTATCCACTCCACTCAAGTGTCAATGATCCCGTAATCTCTAGTGTTGCTTGCCATGTAAATAACCAAACTAATACAGCTTCTTCCAACAGCAATGTCGAAGTTTACAGCGTCAAACGCCAGCACCAACTGGTATCCGGTCAGCCAACAAAGGTAGTCAGTATCGAACCTCTAAGCAAGCCACGATACATAACTGCGGTTGGATCTTCAATGACAACTTTGAGACAGGAAAAAAGTAAGAAGCTTGAAAGAGTTTGGTAAACTAGTTTACTACCGCAATTTCTTTGGCATTATAAACTCTTTGTGAGCCGTATCCCTAAAATAATACTTGTTGACTGAATTCTGACCTGTAATTGAGTAGCGCAAATATGTTTTTAAAATCACATTCAATAATATTATCTTTATGGTAATATCAAATATATCCCTGAGGCCTAGTCTTTTTTCACTTCACATCCCAGAGACTGATGGCTGAGCTGATCCATATATGTCTATCATTTCTTTTTAGCAGCCATTTGTATTAAATTGCACTATTTTATTATCTTTTGTTTAATAATTCACTATAAGGCTCGTTACTTAGCGAGTCCATCAAAACATTTGGATATATTTTTTTATAAAGGACAGCAAATCATTTAATGACCATAATTTTGAATGATCTAATTTTTGTTGTACATATCTACTCAGCAATTTTAAGCAAAATATTAGAATATCTTATTTTTGAACTTGTACGATGATTTACTTATAAGCGCCTTTCGTACAGACAGGAAGTTCATGAGTTATTCAATTGTTTTATTTAGTGTAACTTTCCGTATTATTATAGCTGGAAAATTGAGTTCATCCTCATTAATCGAGTTAATATTAAGCTATTTAGCCTAACCAAAACATTTTTTTATTTTTACTTCCAATGCTTCAACAAGCACTAGGCCTGAAATCATGTATTTGGACTCCATTCTATTTATTCATCTAAGATGAGTGCAGATAGGTCAATTTTACTTCGCCTTTTACTCAAAAATTAACCAGCCTAATATTACCAATCCGTGACCGCTTTAACAAGTCCACTTGTTTTCATGCCAGGGGGTTGATGTAGTGCATAATTGATACCATCCTTATACTTCATTTGTACTTGGACTATTGCATACATTCGTTGTTATAACTAATCATTTGGTGCCCAAGGCTGTGCAATCTCATTTTAAGCTTCCATTTATTACTCATGCATCCCATTTAGATTATTTATTGTTACGGGTATACATTCTATTAAATTCTTTAGCTTTCCATTGCATTTTAAATTTTTATCCAACTCTTCCATCAGGCACCAACGATATGCTTCTCCTTAGTGCTCAAGCTTCGGTCCACCAGTCTTCAAACAGCTCTGATATGTCTAGTTCCTCCATTGTGAATACAAAACGTACTGTAGTCCACAAACTCCATTCTTTTAGGAAGATCTTGCCAAAATCACCAGACAGATCATCCTCGGTTCATGCTCCAAATTCAGGCCCTGCTATACTACCTTCTGCTTTGGCATCTTCCCCATCATCTTGTCTCAGCAATCCACTTTTAACAGGGACTGCTACGGTTCGTGTTTCAACTGGCTCCTTTATTCCTCTACAACCTCCAATTCAACAACAGGGGCCTCTTTTGCACGGCCAAGTCAATTCAACCATCCGCAGAATCTCTCAATCGAACATCACGCCTTCTATTAATAGAGAAGCCCATCCCCAACTTTTGAAAACTTTGTTAGAGGAAGGCGATGCTCGTAGTATTACACCAGCGCAACCACAAGTTAGTTACTATTATATTTGTTTGCGTGTCATATATCACATTGTTCAAACTAATATTCCTTTCATTCCCCTCCCCAATGTATAAGACTTTTGGCTTGCATATATATATATATATATATATATATATATATATAGTGTACTTTACTTTGTTCGTTGTTACGATTGCTAAACTTCGAGGTCAACGCTAGCATGCTTTAAACTGCTTCGCGTGTTTTCAACAGAGCCCATACAGTTTGCGGTACCTAAAGTTGGCTTTAATAAGCTCTAGCTGGGTGATTTGTGTCGCGATATCTTTTTTTCCTGGGCATGCGCATCTGATTAGATGTTTTCAACTTGACTAAACGACAGTCAATTTGAAAATGGGCTGCATAGTTTGATGTACTAGTCAAAGGGAATTATTGAATTAGGGCACACAGAATCAATGTTCGGGTTGATAGTGTAAATTACTATGCTGCCTTATACCTACCTAGATAGATGAGGGACTCCATGCTTTAAATATTAGTGCCTGATGTGCTCCTCGTGGCTTAACATTTGATAGACTTATTTGCAGTTGCAGACTTGACAAAGTCGTCATTCCATGCCTCTGCAGGTAATCTAAGTTTTTAGCTTAGCCTTTTGTCCTATGGGATGGAGGGTAGTTTTCGGGCAACCTGACCATCTTAGTGGGCACCTTGAAATTATTTAGTAGCCAAACTACATCTGTGATACAATTGTCGATAAAGCAAAGTTGTATTTGCTATAGCATTCGACTACCTTACTTATTTTTCGTTTATTAGCAAGTTTTCGAGACTACAATTATATCATATTTATTTGAAATGTATTCATCTTATTATGTTTAAGGTGATGGTGTGATATGAAAAAGGGCCTGTCCTTCCTTGAAATTCACATCTACTCTGTGACCTAGGAGCCTTAGTGGCAATGTAGATTAGTAGTCAACGTGTCAAGATTATAAGTTGCACTTCCACGGTTTGAGTCATGCCGGGGGTGCTAATAAGACCGAAACAAGGTCGAAACTGCAGTCCACCCTAGATAAGAACATCTTTTGGTAAGCAAGGCTATGCTTAATTGAAAGGAAACCTAAGGCCTACTCATCATTGTGAGAAAATTAACTTATCAATCCTTCATCACCTTGAACTAAATAGGGTGAATACGTGTCAGATTAGGCTCATTTTACTCATGAATTTGCCAGTATATTGCACTAACGTGCTTACGTGTTGATTTTTTTCTTTAACTCCACCTTATCTATGATCTATTGTTAGTCTCGAAAACCTCCTTATGAACGAGAAAATATCCATTCTATTGTTTGAACCTATATTAAATTAACTAAAATACCAGGTTTCTTTCAC